GGCAACTGGTTCGTATTTATGATCATTGCTGTGTCCCAAGGTCATGCAATCACCTTTTGCGACCTACTCACAAGCAAAATCATTTGGGAAGGGAGATTCACTTAACAACTGTGGCAAGAAAGGTTGTAAAATGGGGCAAAACTCACTTAACAAAGGTCTTGCTTAAACAACTGAAATTTTCGGGTCAATTGTGGTTGTAAGTCGAGGACTACCTGTATAGGAATTTTCTCTCTTCTGATCTTGACACACCCACACTCATGAGGTAGGCTTGGAAACAAAAATGGATAGACACCATTGGAAGAGCTTATATGGGTTTTTAAAAACTTGGCTAAGTCAGTCACTTATGGAAATGTTTTTTGACATATAGAAGAATTTTATCAATCATAGCTAAAGTCACTGTAGCCTGATCTGAGGCTACAATTGAGGGGAGAAGAGCTGTTTGTAGAGACTTCTAACCAGCATTACTAACCAGGTTGGATTGTTGCCAAAGTTAATACACTGACATTTCCTGTGTGCATTGGGAGAGAGTGAAATGTTTATATAAATATTTGCCTATAAACAAAAATAGTAAAAAATGGTGTGGGTTATATTTCAACTTACTATAAATGCCCCATGAGGTAAAGACCCATTTAATAATGTCAGATACTAAATCATACATTGGATAAGATCTTGCTCTATGTATGGGTTCAGATTTTTGTCTGATTCTGGATTTATGTAACAATAGTATATATTTGAGGTATGGCAATCCTGTGTGATAAAAAATTAAAGTTTAAAAAATAAAGATATTTTCATATGTATGTACCTTTAACTCTTAAAGTGGAAAAAAGGTGGTTGCATGTAAATCTAAATAACTAAGTAACTAAAATTACTATCAATTTAATTAGCTGATTTAATTAGCTTCATCATTTGATTTTATGCAATGGAAACAATGTGCCACTTTATACACTACATTGTTAGATACACTTTAAAATATGTTAAGAGTGAGGTTTGATTGGCTGCATCTCTTTATTCAGTGTATGGTTTATGTCAATTGATAAATTAGGGGAGTCAAGTCTTTGGTTCTGAGGGCCTCCCCCCCCCCCCATGCATACTGTATTTTCTTTCTTAACAAGAGCTGATGCAGAATTGGGATCAGTTCTTTGATCATTCAAAAAAGCAATGACTGTCATTGCCATATTCGAGCAATAAACTACATAATCTGTTAATAAGTTTTACAAAATGTGATTTGTATACTTTCTGCCTTTCTACAAATTGTTACACAAGCTCAGCCATAGCCTGCTTTGCTTTGCTCTATATATTTTACATAGTGCATATGCTGCAACAGACTGTTTCCAGATTAAGTTCAAATTGATATGTAATACCTAGGATTACTATTAGGGATGCTGGGTTTGTTTTTCTTTTTTCCCCTCCTTGTGTGATTTCTGTCACAAAAACATTTGCTGGATTTGTCCATTGTTATTCGTCACTTTCTGTTCCATCCTTTAGCAGGATTTTTGGATAGCCGCCTTGAGTCTTCGGAGAAAGGCGCATACAAATAAATAAATAAATAAATATTTCAGCTGAATTGCATAGGAAAGAATTTACTACCAGAAAAAATATATTTAATTATATTTATGAGGATATGCAGAGTGTCTCTTTTTATAGAAACAAGTACAACTACAACCATTCATTTAGTAACCATTTGAAGCTACAACGCTAAAAAAACGTAACTTATAACTGGTTCTCACACTTAGAAACCGTTGCATCAAATTTTAAATTATTTGCTACTTGGTCAGTTGACTAAGATTAATTTGAATTGCAGGATAGCAGATATCTGGAAATAGAACCTGTTGTTATGGCCCTTTCTCTAGCACTTCACCAAGTCAACATTTATAAAGATGCTCACATATATCAACATGATTGAATTATTTCTGTGACTGCTTTAGCGTCAGATAAATCAGAGAAATATAACTTGCATTCCTCCAGACACTGCTGGACACAGCTTTGAGTAGCTTCAGTTCCACTACAGATCTATAACTTTCATTATAGCAATGACAAAGGATGCTGGGAATTGTGGTTCAGGAATGGAATGTCTCACATTCCTCACTCTTGAGTTACATGGTGCTGAAATGCTAATTAAAATACCCCCAATGTGTTGACAAAGCTGAATACTTCCAGTATTGTGAGAACACAGTTTGTTAATTCAAGACAATCCAATTCACATACTGATATTAAGAATCTCAGACACTGAATAATCAGTCAACTACAGAGACCGTTAAAGATAATGTGCATGCTTTGATAATGGCAAATATGTTCCTTCTGTTTTGTTTTCTTTCCATGGCTTGGCTCTTCTTTCTGTTACTTTTTAAATATAAGTACCAGCAGTTGTTCCTGCCTTCTTTCTAACATTACCTGCCATGTTTTTAATGATCTTATCAAGGGGTATCAGCTATTTATCTTCAATGATTCACTCCTACATAAAATTAGTGCATCATCCTTGACATCTTCTGCTCTTTCTAAAATTTGCCCATTTTCATACATCACTTAAAATGTTTAATCGGAGCAAAGCAAAACTGAAAGCTTTAGATGTTGCAACACTCACTATTGGCATTATTTTATACCGACAACAATTAAAAACCTTATTCTTGTCATTTTAAGTTGAATTTGGGAACTGATGTAATTTTATGTATTTCTTTTCTGTTACAAATGGGTTTAAATTATGAACAGGACCTTAGATCTCTTGGCTAAAGTAATTAAACAATACAAGAAATGTGAGGCAATCATGTTTGTTTACATAACAACAAACAAAAAATACAAACAAAAAGTTGAGCTGTAAAAATACACCTGTGTTTATAGAACACAGTCAAATATTTGATGTCAAGCTGAAATCTATGTCTTTTGGAGTCATAACTAACTTGGAGCAGAATAGAGGATGTAAAGTATAATTGTGTGAAAAAGGCAAAGAGTTAAAATATTCCAAGACACGGGTCCTCATATGAATTTTTGTTTCAGATTCTAAAATAAATAATTCAAGAAGACAAGTCAATTAGGCTAAATAGTGAGACTCATCATAGGATTCCAGTTGCTGCTTACAAGCCTCTACATGCAAATCTGGACTTTTGGGGATATCTTCATCTAGCCCTTTGTCCTCCTATCTGAAATGATGATGTGGAAGATTATGGGGCATCCCGTGCAAACTCAGAACACTTTAGTTGGAAGGAAACTTGGATAAAGAAAATTGCATACGTAGAAGCACTTATGTGCATTATGTGGAATTTTTTGGATCCTGACCTCTGCAAGTGTTTGAAAAAAAATACTCATAATTTTGGTGATCCTTAAAAAAATAATAATCCTAATTGCTGTTCTGATAAAATGTCAATCTGGACTGGGCACGCATGTGACTCTTGATTCATCGAGGAAAAAAGCTGCAAGTTGCAAGTTTTTTTCCTTGTCTGATTTTGTTGTCGACTATTTAATTGCTTGCAGCTTAATAGCTTCTTCACATTGGCTTTGCTTCCGCCATCATTCTTGCAACCTCCTGCCTTGCACTCTTTAATTAAAGTACCATTAGGAAATATTAATTCAGATGTCTTAAGGCTTCTTTCCACTGTTAAGACAGATAACGGAAGTGGCATCATACATTTCTCAAGAAATAATCTGGTGCACGTTTTGCTAGCAGATTCTGCAGTCTGGACAAGATGTATATTTTCAAGGTACAAAAGCGTCATGTTGCAGCTGCTTCTATATTTGAATCTTAAATTATGTGCTTGGAAAATAATTAAGGAAACGGTGATCCTTAGCCTACTTTGTCTGAGTATTCTAGTTGAGTTATCTGTATAATTTTCAACTTAATCCAGTAATCTAATGAGTACGAAAGTCTTAAAACATCCCATCAGATCTGTTGCAGGATTCTTCTGCATAAGTAAAATGCTTGGATTGTTTGGAATTTATTAACGGCTTAACAAACTGGCCTTGTTTGTTTATTTTTGAGATTCTTAATGTCAAAAACCTAATATAAGTATCTATTATCATTTGGGCACCTTTTCCACAATGAGCATTCTGGAAAAAAAATGATTTTGTTATTGTAAAGCAACCTTTCATTTTGGAATAAAAACCAATCTAGCTATTTTAGTTCCCAATTATGTTAGTCCTTCCAATTCTTAAAACTACTTGTACCAGTCTACAATATTCTTTTAATTTATGAAAACCTATACATGAAATGCCGGTTATACGGAATTGATAAAAGCTGGTATATAAATGTACTCCAGTTGCAACATGGTACTTTAGTGCCTAAATTTAATGAAAGGCAAATTGCTTGAAAACCAAGAAACTGGCATTGCCTGCAGAAATGCCTATTTTATGATTCCACTTCATCCTTAAAAAAAATCAGCATACAGGACACATTTCTGAGTTGATTTTGTTTTGGCTCTAGTTAAAAATAAACTTATGCATCACAAATCTTACTTCCTTCACTGCTTTCTCCAGGATAATCCTCGTAACAGCTGTTAAAGACGACAAATGATACAATTTAAATACTGAAATATATTTTACTGATCAAGTAAAATGGATCCATGTTCAATTGGAAATCAGCTGCAAGCAAGCAGCGATTGTCATAAAGCATACTTTACCTCTCAAACTGGCTTCAAGACTAAGCAAGATTTATCAGCAACTGATCTGTTACTTCTTCAGCTTAGAACTGGGATAACTCTTTCAGAGACTCATACAATCTGCTTCCATCATGCTAAAGTTTACCTTGATAGGTATGAAGACTTGCAAAAGTCATGTTGTGATCCTTTTAATATGCACAAAAAACTCTCCAGGAAAAACTTGCATGCAATTGACATAGATGATGCATCTTTTCTAAGTGCCAAGTTTGGACGTCAATTTATACCAGGCTGGAAGCTTTGCCCCAAATGTACACAGATAATAAATGGAAATGCAGAGGTTGACTCTGAAGACCGTCAACGAAGGAGACTTGATTCAGACGTATGTATATGGGACCATTTTTTCAACTATCTAAGTACTGGACTAAAGCTGTAACTTTTGCAGTTATGTGATAGAAAATCCCACCCACTGAAAAAAAAGTGGTACCTCTAAATATATGTGCCATAGGAGACAGGTTAAGAGTATGAAAAGAATAGCATCAATCCCCTTTCTTAAAATACTAAGAGTACACTCAGTTCTGTATAGTTCCTGAATGTATGACTCTCACTGGATAAGCACTGCATGAAGAAAATGCCATCACAGTTTAAACGTCAGAAATGGCATTTTCATGTAAAATTGCAACTTCTCAGTTGAATCTTTGTAGGAATTGTATGTAGGAATAAGCTCTAATCCTTTTAAGGGGAAAATAGGCCAAATCCTTTCATGGGAACAGGGAGAAAATAACTGTTCAGCTTTTGAAACTGCAATATGCATAAGATTTTCCCATAACTTTCAACTCAGTCAAACAAATTTCTGTTTTATTCAAACCAGGAAGCAATAGTTAAAGAACTGTTTTAATAAAGTGGCTTTTCATGAATATGTTAGCGATACTTTCCTGGTTTTTATGATGATATGAACTTAACTTTTTTATAGTACTTAAAGGCAAATTAGCCAGGATGAGACCATATAATTTGTGTAAGCAGTAAGGTCTTATCAACACACTGCATACCTTGAGATTTAAAAGAATTTAAGATACTAGAATGGGATGTAGTACTTCAGACTAATGGTAGACTACCCTTTTACAAATCCCCTGTGTAAAATACGCTGCAAATATGAAACAGGGTAGGGAGAAGCACAATGAAGAGAGATTCTAATATCTCCCTACTTTTTTAGTACTTTTCTTGCAAGGTATATTTCACTAAGGGGAACGTTTAAAAACTGAATTACCATCTGCAGTCTGAAGCTGCACACTCCTTAGAGCTCTTAACATGATTGATAGAGGAAGTTTCTCTTCCAAGCAATAAGGAGCACCATGATGGAAGACTTTCATCTTTAAAACTGAACTTGGTATCCAGCTTTGCACTGTCTATGTTTAATGAAGACATGCTACAGTTATTTCCTATTTTGGAAAAAAAAAATATATATACACACACACACACACACATACATACATACATACATACATACATACATACATACATACATACTTGGTACACAGATGACTTACTCTCTGGGAAAAAATACTGTGGGGGTAAGACACCCCTCGGGCTGTGTGTCTGTGTGTGTGTGTTCCAGCATAACTCTGGAATACCTGGGCCGCTGAAATGAAAAGGAATGATATCTGTAGTGTCAAATCACAATACTTTTGACAATGTTAGTGTGCATTTTGGATTCAAGTTCTGTTAAGATACAGCCTGTTGTGCCTTAAAATGGCTTCTACTGTACAGCACAGTGGAGTTGCCATGGTAACGACTTCACAGTACTCCACAAGTGGGCCCCCTCTGGTAAGAGGGATAGGTTCTTAAAAAAAAACCTTAAAACAAAAACAAACAAACAAAAAACAAGGAGGCTCCCTCTGGTAAGGGAGATTGGTTCTTTTTTAAAAAAACCCACCCTAGGCCCTCAGTTTCAAGCAAAGAGGGCAAGTTGTCAGGGGAGGTGCCTGCTAATGCATATAATCACCTCAAAGGCTGATTCCTTCTAGAATTTTCCCAGGCAGTTGGCCAGGGCAATTAGGTCTCTAATTCTCACCACAGTAGTTGAGGCAGCTTTCTTCTACAACTGGTAACAGGGCTAGGCCCAAATGTCTTTTTCTTACATTTACTTTATTGTATTCCATAATAATAGATTTCATTGCTGTAACGATGCCTCCAAGGAAACGTCAGGCGATTGGCCAAGTGCAATCAAAGGCTAGAAAAATGAAACAACAGCGTAGACAAGAAACTCCCGAAGAGAGGAATATTAGACTTGCGTTGATACGCAAGAGAGCTGCCACATCTAGAGCTTCAGAGACAGTACAGCAGCGTGAGGCCCGACTACAGGTTATGAAAGAGAGAGCTGCTACATCTAGAGCTTCAGAGACAGTACAACAGCGTGAGGCCCGACTACAGGAAATGAGAGATAGAGCCAGACGATCACGGACTGCGCAACATTTTAGCTTAGCATTGGAAGGATTCCGTTATGATCCACATAAAGACTACTCGCAGCATGCAAGTGTTACCATCGGAAAAATGGAAATGGTACTTTGATTTGACACTATAGATATAATTAATTCCTTTTCCTGTTTAATACAGGATTGGGATAAATAAATATCCGGGCAAGGCCGGGTTATCAGCTAGTAGGAGTTCCATTAACTTGCATCTCTAAGGGTATATTCCTGTCCAATTTATTATCTTTGCTTTCTTTTGACTATTAATATTACTGTTATTCATTGAGATATCTCATAAGCAATTTAGAGCACAGTTGATACTATAAATAAAAAGAGAGAAGTGTATATTTGGCTTCAGTTTCAGTGTTTGTCCCTTAGCTGAAATATGATATCACTTAATTAGAAATGCTTTGAATTTTTTAAAATGAAATTGTCTGTATTTATTCAGGGACGTACAACTAAAGCCTTGAAGTTTGCTAATCCAGGACGGCATACTGGATTTCCTCCGGAAGCAGCAAACAAAAGAGAAAAAAGAAAGCTACAAACAAAAAACACATCCGTTAATTCAGACAGGTAGACTGTTTATGGATTGATTGCCTTTGCTTTTTCACTTTGAGGGAAAATTGTTCTGCTTACATATGGATTATAATTTAGAACTGTTTGGATGCATGGAATTTTTTTCTCCTATGTTTGTGCATAGGAATAAAATAAGTTGCATTGTCCAATCATTATAAAGCAGCTTGAAAAGTGGAAAATCAGTATCTAATACTGCAGTCGGGGTATCCATGATCTTTCCCAGATTAGGGACGATGTTCTTGGTGCAATTTATTTAATTATTTATTTTTGGTCCCAAGAGATAAACAATAAATTCTCCTTGGAAGTTTTTGTGTTTTAAGTGCAATACAGATTGCACTAGGAAGGTAGGACTTTTTTACTGAGAAAGCAGAAGAAAGCTGATTAGAAGCACACATTATCCTCCTTTTTCCATCTGCTACTTGTCATAGCAGATAGGTATTTGTGCCCTTCTTCCAGCTAAAACCTTGGATTGTTCCAGTCGCCTTCATTACTATTATTTAGCCGTTGAGTTTTTATAAAACATTTTATATTTTATAGCAGCTTCAGGACAACAGCAATCAAAGTGCTCCAGAAGAAGTAATTGAAATTATGAGATGAATCTCCAGCTTATATTGATTCATGAATATAGTTTTTTATTCCATAGGTTTATACCTATGGAATAAAAAGTAGCGTTCAAGTAGAGTTCTATGCATAATTTGTGGCAGTGGATTTTTCTATATCTTAGATCAGTGATGGCTAACCTTTTTGCCATTGCGTGCCAGGAACAGGGGGCACGCGCACATGACCACACCCATAATTCTATGCGCCATGCACATGCGCCATCCCCCGCTCCCCCTCCTCCTAGCATGCGATGGCACGATAGGCACCTTTTTGCTGTCCCCAGCCTCCAGAGCCTTTCTAGGAGTCTGAGGAGGGTGAAAACAGCCTTCCCCACCCTCCAGAGGATGAAAATGGTCCGTTTGCCAACTTGCTGCCCTCAGCCTCTGGGGACAGCAAAAAATGGGACTTTTTTGTCCCACCGGAAGTTGGCAAACGGGCCGTTTCCAGCCTCCGGAGGGCCTCCAGGGGGACGGGGAAGGCCGTTTTCACCCACCCCAGACTCCTAGAAAGTCTCTGGAGGCTGGGGAGAGAGAAAAACAGGCCTTCCCAATCACCCCCAAAGTCCTCCGGAGGCAGGAAACAGCCTGTTTCCCTACTTCTGGTGGGCCCAGAAGGCCCACGCGTACAGGAGCTGAGCTCGCATGCCCACTGATATGGCTACACGTGCCACCTGTAGCATGTGTGCCATAGCTTCGCCATCATGGTCCTAGATTGATTTTCCATAAAATAATGCTAGCTGATCCTAGTTAGTTACCTCCCCCCCACCCAATATTTTTTTCTGGGGTCTTTGGGTTCTGCAAGACTGAATGTTCAAATTCACAGCTATCTCAGTAAAAAGCAGCAATTTAAGCATAACTAAATAAAACTTTTTAGCCCTAGAAATGCTTATATTTAAGATGATCTACCATGTTTCCCTGAAAATAAGACCCTGTCTTATATTTTTTTGAACCCTGAAATAAGCGCTTGGCCTGATTGCCATGCGCTCAAAAGCCCGATTGGGCTTATTATCCTGGGATGTCTTATTTTGGGGAAAACAGGGTAATTAAAGTGATCCAGGTTTGTTCTACAATATGTAGGCAAACTATGTTCAGATGTTATAAAGAGCTGATGCCAAATTTGAACGTTATGTCGTGTTATGTCCTATCATCCCTAACTAATATGGTCTGTAGCCAGTGGTGGGATTCAACTGGTTCACATCACTTCGGCTGAACCGGTTTTTAAATTGCTGCCTGGCACAAGAGTCAGAATTATAGCATGGAGAGACACCCAGGTTGTGTCTTGCTGCTTGAATATATAAATGGCCTCTGTACTGAATTAAAGGTTTATCCTGCAGAAGTGTCCTTGCAGCCTATATGGTTGTCGTTTAAAAATAATAATTATCTGAGCCTGATCTGAGCCTGGTGACACAGCAGACTAAAGCACTGTTATTAACATTAAGCTGTCTGCAATTACTGTAAGTTCAAATCTCACCAGGCTCAAGGTTGACTCAGCCTTCCATCCTTTCTAAGGTAGGTAAAATGAGGACCCAGATTATGGGGGCAATAAGCTGACTTTGTATAAATATACAAAAGTATGAAGGCTATTGCTTAGCGCATTGTAAGTTGCCCTGAGTCTCCGGAGAAGGGCGGCATATAAATCAAAATTTAAAAAAAATATTATTATCATATGGCCTCCCATCCCTTCCCTTTCCCCTGGTAACAGGGCATTTCAAAAGAATGTCAAGGTAGGTGCCAATTTTATTTCTGGAGGGATGGTGTTCCTTAGGAAGGGAGCTACCATGGAGAAAGCCTTTCTTCTTTCTTCCCATTAGATGAATGTCCTTAGTAGCCGAGACTGGTAATATCCCTGTCTCCCCACTCAGGTGGGTAAGGTACATGTAATTGGGAAAAGATGGTTCTTCAAACAACCTGGCCCCGGGCCATGTAGAGCTTAAAGGTGACACAACCAGCACCTTGAATTGGACCCAGAAACAAATCAGGAGCCAGTGCAGCTCTCTCAAGAGAGGGACCAATTTAGACTTGCATAAAACTATTCAAGCCAGTGTATTTTGAACTAATTGAAGCTTCCATAAACTTTTCAAGGACACCCCCACGTAGAGCACATTGCAATGGTCATATTAGTTTATATCTGCTGCTCCTTAGTACAACAAACTGGAATTTGTTTGGAATTTTAAACTGAGTTGTCTATTATTTAAAACAGAGTGTCTAGTATTACAAATCGTTGTTAATGATTGGTTGCTTGTATTTTTCCCTCCAGGCAATTAATAGCAGCAAAGAGCAAGGTATATGACGGCCAAGGCTTTTTGCTTTACAGCGGGATAGACCTGTGTGACTGCCTTGATGAAGACTGCCTTGGGTGTTTCTATGCCTGCTCCAAGTGCGGCTCCCGCAAGTGTGGACCTGAATGCCGTTGTGATCGCAAGTGGCTATATGAGCAAATTGAGATAGAAGGGGGGGAAATTATTCGTAATAAGCATGTGATATAGCCTGTGCTCTGCATCTCATTACTGAGCCACAGGAAGGTTGTTCATAAAATTTAATCGGTTCATATTTCCAGTTAAGATTCAGTGTTGTGCAAACAAGCAATGGGTAAAGGGAAGTTCTATATTTATGTCATCTGTTCAGAAGAAAAATTAGAAAGTTGTCTACTTGTGAATTTATTAACAGACAAGCTAATAAGAGTGGTATTGGCTGATACTCATTGTGTGCTTCATGCAGTACATTTTTTTCTCTAGATCATTATTGCTGCCCTTTATAGGAAATCTTTGAATATTTCCTTGTTCTGGACCATGGTTTCTCCTGCAGACACATTTAAGTACCAGCAGCATAAGCAGTATTAGTTGTGGGAAATGGGTGATTTGAGAAGGTTGTTGCATGATAAACAGAAAACACAGAGGTCAGGCTGAGATTTTCAAGAAGATGGCATACTTTTCTGAAGCAGTAATGTGAAAGTGATTGACCTTTTTTGCAAACAAGAGTTGCCGTGTGAAGAAGGAATTATATTATGCCTTCAACAGTATTTTGCTGCTGGTGGAAAGGAAGTCACCAAAGTTACAGCCTCAGGCAGTATTTCTGTTATGAATATCTTGCTTGGAGACTTTATAACTGAATCCATAGATTGATGGAGAATGTGCGGCTGGAAAGTGACACCCTGTCACCTTACCTTTAATAAATACACAAAATGTATTTGATGGAATTATACAAGCATAAGTATGATGAGACATTTATGGTTTTTGTACAGTAATAGTTAATAGGCAATGCTTGTAATCTACTCAGATAATTAGCCCATGTGCCCCAGGTAAAATGCATGTATACTTAGTCTGATGCATATAGTGCGTGTTATAGAAATGTGAGGTTCAGGATTTATCAGAAAAGATATTGTTTGTACTAGAGATATTTTTAAAGGCATGTCAAATATCTTTATATCTTGTTTTTAAAAGCTGAAATTTTTGTGTTATTAATATGCAGATATTAATAAAGAATTGATTTTCATCAAAAGATCTGTTTTATTATTTATTCTGTTACTATATGTGATTAAATGTGGCCTAATTCAGAAAGAGAAGAGGATATAAATAATTAAGGAACTGTATTATGGTACCATTATATAAAATTTTGTTGAATTACTAGAATTTCTAATACAATTTCTGCATACAGTCATGGCCAAAAATACTAAAATTTAAAATAAGGATTCCATCAAGTATTATGCAGAAAATGGGATTTCCCCTTGTTCTCTTCCTAAAAGTGTGTTTAAATGAATTTCTCAACCCTTTGTTGCAGATATTATATGAGAGAGAGAGAGAGAGAGACAAAGAGAAAGGAAGGAAGGAAGGAGAGAGAGAAAGAAAAAAGGAAGGAAAGAAGAAAGAAAGAAAGAAAGAAAGAAAGAAAGAAAGAAAGATTCCCTCCAAGATTAATTAAATCAAATTAGATATATAAAATGTTGAACTCTTGTATACCACACTGGAGTTTCCTCACAAGCTTATTCTATTAAAACTCAAATGTACGGTGTTCTACATGTAAGCTTCCTGTATAGTATATGTTGTTGAGTCCAGTGGTAGACCTAAACTAGTATCAGTAGGTGGCTAAACTTTATTGCTTGGATATTTTATGGTTGGAAACAGGGTGGATTTGATTTAAATCACTATTTAAATCATGATTTAAATCACTAGTTAAAAAATTAAAATTAGTTAAAAAATCAACTCAATTTAAATCATAATTTTTAAACAGCAACTGTCATCTCTGTCCTGCAGCAGCTCTTCCTCTGACCTGCTGTTGACTCACCAACAGTCCCAATATTGCAGAATATACAGCCTCATGCTACATAACAGCTCCATTTCATGCTGAATAAATAAATAAATTATTAATGTATCTTAAATAGAAGACTATCTTTAAATAGATTTTTACTCCAAAAGCATTTCATTAAAATAAATTTAATAAAAATAAAAAAAAATCCAATTTAAATTAAAAAATCAATTTTTTAAAAAAATTAAAAATTGATTTTTATCCACCCTGGTTGGAAATAGAAAAAAATCTTTGTATTATTGTTATGTATGGATGTTATAATTGATCTGATGTCTCTGATGTTTGGATTTTATTCTTTTAGATTCATATCATTGTGGGCTGGTTGTATTGGGAAGAAACAGGATAAAAAAATAAAAATAAAATTAACTGGGATCCAGGCACTGGACTCAGTGTTAACTATTAAATGGTATCTCTTATATATTACTATTCCTTTACTACTGAAATGGCTGCTATTTGGTTTTTCTGAATTCAGTGCAGCCCATAAAGAAGTCTTAAGAGTCCACCATCCAGCTTGCAATTCGCATGAACCTGAATCAGACAACCTCTTGTTCAGTAATAAGGATATCCCAGAAGCCAGAATTAGTGAAGCTCTTTTTTGTAGTGAAAACTAATCCACATTGATGAGGAAAAGTAATAGAGGCCATTTTCTTCTGAAATTATCGTCTTTAAACAAATAGAAATCATGCTAGTGAGTCTAGATTGATGTAGGATTTTTTGGGGGAAACCTTGTCAGTTCATCTTGAACAATAGATTTGTATCTATGTTATACTTATTTTTATTTCTGCTTCCGAAGCCCATCTGATCGGGGCGGCAGAGTGGATTGCCGCTCCTCAGCTGTTTTCCTTGCTCTCAGCAATGCGTAAGTTCAATTTTCTGCAAAGTGTGCACACACATGCAGCGAACCGGGTGTTAAACCAGTAGGATCCCACCACTGATCTACTCAGCAAAGATCAGATGAATTATGGTCTGTCAATATGTGTTTTGCTTGTATGTACACTAAGAGCTTATGCACCAGAGACAAATTCCTTGTGTGTCCTATCACACTTGGCCAATAAAGAATTCTGTTCTGTTATATTCTTACATTAAACCTTGATAAAATTTTAGGAGATTTCAGAGAGTCTGGAACATAGATATTCTCTAAAATCTCCCATTTGTAGGTGATTTAAATTCCATTCGCAATAGAACTCTCTGTCATGCTGGACTCCCTAGATATATTATTAAAATCATGCATACTACACATAGAAAACTTTTTTATGTTTTTTCTGAATTAATGCACTACTTATTCAAGTAACAACAGGAAGGTATTTCAATCTGCCATACAAAATATTTATATTCAAACACCAAGTTTGAATCTATATCCTTTGTTCTATTAAAATGTCCGCTCTATACACAGTGACAATTAAAAGTTGTAACCCCAGGTTTGTTTGTTTGTTTTATCCCTTTGAGACAATTGACTACTGAAGATTCCCTAGGGTAGTCCTGCCAGTTTTGTTGTGAAGGTTTTTCAGAAGTACCACATTTTTCGGAGTATAAGATGCACCTACCTTTTTTGGTGAGGAAAAGAAGAAAAAGAAATTCCCTCTGCCTCTGCACAATTATGCCTCGTTACAGCAAACAGCCTGCTTTACTTTTATTTTTGTTTTCAGCATAGCTTGATTAGCACAAGGAAAAAAAAATCTGCTCCAGCAATTTATCTTTTTGCAGCAAGCAGCAGAGCCCTGTGCAAAACAGCTGAGAGCAAATCAGCTGAGAGTCGGGAGGCCAATCCAATCAACTTGTGCTAATTAGGCTGTGCTGAAGCTGAACGGAGCTGTTTTTTCTTGCTGTTTGCTTGCAAGGAGGTAACTGCTGTGAGGCAGAGGCCAAAGGGTGGGGGCCACAGGGTGAGCAGGGCTACATCCGGTGTATAAGGCACACCTAAATTTTCATCTCCTTTTAGGGTGGGAAAGGTGCATCTTATACTTCGAAAAATACAGTAGTTTGCCATTGCCTCCTTTCTAGGGCTGTGAGAAAGTGACTGGCCCAAGGTCTCACAGCTACCTAAGACAGGACTAAAATTCAGGCTTTCATTTTCTAGTCTGATGCCTTAACCACTACACCAAATTGGCTTTCAATCCTATTTATTATAAAGTTTAATTTCCTTCATGATGATAAGATCACTGCTTTCCTTTTAAAAAGCCAATTTTTAAATGTATCAAGAGTAGTGGCAAAATTTTTGTCTATAGCTATTGTCTAATAGCCTACAGGAATTGGCTAATATTTTCCTCATAATGCACATACACACACAAATGAATTTTAAACTATGCTTCGGTGTTTGTTAGTTTAGTCTTTGAAAATAAATTAATAAATAACAAACCTGATACAGTTATTTTTCAAACTACATCATCTATTTTATTCTAATGAATCCAAATTCAGCTCTAAAATTTCTTGCTGGGTTGATCCAGTGAATAAAATACATGTCGGCTGCATCTTTATTACCAAGGTATTAAGCCAAGTTGAATATTTAGTAATTTACACCTGTGTAAATTCTATAGCATGGCTTTGGAAGTTACTTGATACTACCCAAAATTCAAAGTTTCACTAGAGAAAAAAAAAATTAAAAAGAGCACAGCTAATTAAAGTTGCATAAACTTGAGCTCCAGGTATCAAAATGATTAATAGCATAAATATTCATATTAATGAACTAAAATGTGGTAAAATAATTTTTATATGCTAATTAACTGAGTTCTTATTTCTACCCTATTCCCACAGTTTAGATACCTAATGAAGGAAAAGATTCAGATTATGTTTAAATATAAAATGAGCTTTATATTCGATGATCCCTTTGCTATTGACAAATATAGCTACATATTGGTAAATTTCCCCCTCACGTTTTATAGTTGTGACATTTTTAAAATAAAGAACTTTATTTTTCTTTTCAATATCACAATGACCCCTCTTTTTTTTTTTCTTCTTTTCGCTTCAGTCCCAATCAAATCCTCAAGTGCTGTGTGGTTGGTCTTCTCGGCCTCTTTGGCTTTGCAGACTCATGAAATATAATTACTGCTAACGCTGCACAAAAGCTAGACCTGCTGACCGAGTCAGCTTTTATCTCTGCTTTTCAAATCTATCTTCAAGCCTGACCTTCAGCCTCTCTTAGGCAGAAGTGTGGAACTAGAAGAACAAAGACCCCTTATTTTAGTGAAGTTCATGGCTTTTTATCATGTGGATATATTTTTACATGGTAGCAGGCTGGAGGTCATCAATCTCATTTTCCATATGTCCTTTGCACAATTTGAATCCAGTTTCCTGAGGTGAAAGGTTAAATAGCTTTCGGGAAGGAGAAGTCTGGAAAGGGGAATAATCTAGTGGTAAGAATAGTCTAGGTTGTAAGTGATAAGGGACTTATTTGCTCATGTGATTGTTGCGGGGGAGTTTTTTTTTTTGAAGGTAGGGCTCCCAGTTCTGAACTGGCTAAGAAATTCAGGCAACTATTGGATAGATTGTGACAAAGAGACACAAAGAAAACTGCAGAGTTTTCCTTATCTCTTTGGTATCATCTAGTGGTCATCCTGATATTCCAAATATTCCCCTTTCCAGACTTCTCCTTCCCGAAAGCTATTTAACCAGCCACAGAGTTGGCATTGAAAAATAAGGCAGCCCAAGGTAAAGGAGAAAAAGCAAAAATTCAAAGAACTTGTTTCCGTGGGATCAAAACAGTGAATTTTCTAAATGATTCATTTTTATTAGACAGTTTTAAACCTTTTGTCTACACTAATTGATCATGTTGGGAAGTGTATCAATTAAAGTTATTCAAAAAGATGTACTATCATTTCTACACCTGCACATAATTAGTACAAAGGTTAAAAGCTACTGTAAATAATACATCTTGTATTAGCAATAAAGGATGCAGTCATTTGCACAATTGTATGGCTGTTAAATTTCCTTTAATTCCTATCCTTGTAAAGTCATATGTCCAAGGTTACTAGCCTGGAAAGCATCAACAAGGGAAAAATCTTTCTGAATTGGCCCATTTGATTGCAGTTTATTTTTGACAGCAGATTTTTAATCTCAGCTGATCAATATTGTTCACTGAGTTATGTCATCTGCATTTTAAAAAATCACCATTATAACTACATTTGCATCCTATTGAGGAGCTTTGTCTGTAATGAAAATAAACCACTTATGGACTCTTGAGTTCCAAAATCAGGAATGAT